GATTCTGGGTAATGAAGAGGCAGATAAGCTGGCCAAGGAGGGTACAGAAAGTGTGCCCTCACACGGCCTGCTTGGCATGCCCTTCGCAGTGGGAAAAACTCTTATTAAAGATCATTTCCAGCGGGATCATGTCAGGCGTTGGGAGAAAGTTGCGACCTGCAGACAAGCGAAACTGCTTATGAGAGGGCAACTAAGAGTTAGGACCAGAAAGCTTCTGGAGTTGCACAGAGGGGATCTGAGGGTAGCAGTAGGGCTCCTTACGGGTCATACAGCTCTCAGAGCTCATCTGTTCAAGATGAAACTTGCAGAACAAGAAGACTGCAGACTGTGCGGAGGCGATAAGGAGGGCGTCATCCACATTTTATGTGAATGCCCCCTATTAGCACTCCGTCGCTATAAAATCTGGGGCCAGGCTTTCCTGAAACCAGAGGACTTACAACAAGCGGCTGTCACCAGCCTTATTAGCCTAGTGAGAAACACAGGGCTGGGGCTGTGTGACTGACCGAAACTAAGGCGGAAGTTACAAAAGATCGTATGATTTAGGTGACTCTGGGCGCTTTAAGTGACCAGCCGCACTTTTTCTATTCTATTCTATTCTAATCTTTCCATGATTACTGAAAAAAATCATCAGTAATATCAATCAAATTACGACTTAAAAAAATTATTTCAATGTTTTCTCAATCGAATTAGAAGGTGGTAGTAATAGCATCATTACTTATTGAGTTACACGATAGCGTAAGATTTACACATCAGAACTCTATAAAACTCCTATGCCAATCTATTATAGTAAATAATTATACAAATTATTAAATAAGTTGAGGGCCAAGAACTGCTCTCCTCCATATAACACGAAAAAATTTACAGAAGCGACTGATTTCGAGTATATTGAGCAAATTTGTAACTACTTGAAAGGATGCAACATAAAAGTGTAGATTAGACAGTAATGTCTAATAATAACAATAATGACTGTACTAATGATAATGTAGAATAAGCATAAATTTTGAACAATGTATATCAATATGTACATATCAAACGACAGGGTAAATAATTTTATAATAAATTGAGCACTTTAAACAATAAAAAAAAATACTTATACATATTTATTCATGATTTGGACTAAACCTTGATTAAACTTAAGTTAAACTCCAGCTAAACCCCGACTGAATTTTGCTTAGATCACAATTAAATCTTGATTAAAACCCATTAAACCCGAGTAAAATACGGAATAAAAACTGACTAAACTCTGACTAGATCCTGATTAACCGTCTAATGTTGCTCAAATTATCCCCTCTTCGACGTTTCTCTCTAAGAGCACGTGATTCCTTCTGCGACGCCTTTCGTGCGTCTTGTGGCTCATCAGACAGATGGATTAAATTCCGGCCGAACCCTAACAATATATTTCGTTGAAATTGCAAATAAATCTTGATTAATCTCTGACTGAAAACCAATTGGCGCTTATCAGGGCTTGAATACAAGATAATGCAAAACTCGAAACGGAATAACCGGAAAAAAATTGTGATGACATTTCAATCAATGATAGTTAATATATAACATAAACACAAAGACAAGAAGTAACAAAATATAAATTTCGGGAACAGAATGAATGCGAAAGCCAATTGCTAATTGATTAGCAACAATAACTATACTCATTACCAAAAAATGCAATTATCCTCTTGTGTCTCTTCGATGAGGTCATGAAAAACAGAAAAGATAAAACGAACACTTGGGAAATAAACGACCAAGAGTTTCTGTAGGATAAATCTCAAGCGAATAAATTACACCCACAACTTGAAATTTATCGAAAACTAAATCAGGAATTCCGGAAAAAGCAACTAGTGATGCCGCGAGACATTTCACGTGACAAAACTTTGGAGAGATGATCTCGATCTCAATGAACATGAAAATCTTTGCTCTCGTCTCAGTCTCGTCTCGAAATGCGCAATATCGACTCCTCTCGTGATGAGCCCGAATTAATTTATCTCATCTCGGTTTCCAGTTTTACGTGTTTTTTATATGTAGAAAACTGAGACGAGATAAAACGAGACAAAAACCAAGATTTTACATTAATAAACATGAAAAACTTGAGACCGAGATCATCTCTCCAAAGTTCTGTCTCGTAAAATGTCTCGCCACATCACTAAAAAGAACAGAATTCCTAATAGAATTTCCCAACAAAAGCACTAGGTTTTCCGATTAAATTTTCCAACGAATCATAGGGTTTTTAATTCACCAGTGACAGCATCTCTTTCGATTTTCGTTAACGAAACTTCTCCGTTAATAATGTAATACAAACAATGAGCAGGATCCTGCTGATGTACAATCACTCTCTCTCCCCCGAAATACAAATATCCACAAACACAACTCACGGAGTCCCTCACATCCTCTGGATATTTTCTAAAAGCTTTCAATGTCTTTATCAGATCAATAATGTAAGATTTATCCTCCCTAGTCCTTGCATCTGTTTGAATTAAGAGGTACGAACGATCCTGTAGAGTAAAGCAACCATCATGTTGTGTTTTCATCAGTCCAGAGTAAGCTCATTACTAATGCTTATTTTATCAATTCAGTAAGAGAAATTCACCTCCAACGTTAACCCTTTTTTCTCCGCCTTTTTGCGCTCCGCCAAAGCGATGCTGACCTCATCCTTGGGTTCCCCAACACCCACATCTTCAGTAAACCAATCTATATACTCTAGTACTCGTCTCACTGCCGAGCGAAATAAATGTTTCCCCCGTAATCTAGTGGCCTTAATAGAATTGAGGAAGAAGAAACATTTTTCTTCGTTTAGGAGAATCGAGATTTCATTATTTCTAATTGAGAGTTTACGTTACCTGCACGGGTTTTTTCTTTTTTGGTCTGACGAAACTTATTGATTCTCTCAGAGAACTTTTACGATGCATTCCAGCTATTGTTGTTTAATTTATCGGAAAAAAGGAGAGGTGGAAATAATTCACATGTGGGAAACACTAATTTTGAGGCTCTTATTATGTCAATAAAATCGATTAAGCGTTTGAATGGCTATATGAAAGTTTCAACTCAATTGTTCAGTTGGTAAGGGAGAAGTTCTACGTGCCTGCAACATCGGAATTGCCTTAGATTTAATTGACCATGATTGACGAACCGTCGCACATTTAATACTTAATTAGGTTGTGTCTAAAATTGTATTGAATGAAATTATAAGACACGAAAATGGCATGGAAAATATAAAAAACCGAGGGGCTAATCATTCATGAAGTCTGGTGTACAGATGAGATGGAAATCTTATGAAATCTCATTTCGAAGTGAAAAAATATTGAGGGGAAGATAAATGAAGGAGTATATGACCTGGAAAAATTTTAGTATCCTTTTTTACTATATTTCGAAGAATTACCCGTCTCAAACGAGTACATTAATAGTAACTTGAGTATTTATTTACTTAATAATGGCCCTCATTCTTTGTATAATACTCGCATTATATTCAGGCGTACCATTCGTAATGGATGGACGAGGAAGAGGGCATCCATAAGTTTTGAGATCACACCAAACGGTTTCTCTGAACTCACTACAACCTGGTTGCTCTCAACCTCCTACTTTGGAATTTTTCATCCGACATTGCGTTGGTACACTTGATATTGAGTATTGCAATTGTTTACCTTTACCAACAATATATAAGAAAGCCAGAAGTCTTTCGATAATCGGTTTTTTCTGTTTCTTTTTCTTTCCTACACACATGAAGCAACACCACTGTCCCATATAAACTATATCACTCCTCATAATATTTTCAACATCTCTATCAATCATTTCAGCGTCAGACTTATCCGACGATTTAGTGTTTTGATCGCTCAATGTCAACGAGCTTTTTACTCGATTTAAGCGATTCAAATCTTTTGAAATCCTATGAATTCTGTTGGAGTCCCTTGAAATCCTTTAAAGTTCCTTGAAGTCCGAAAAAGATTTCAGAAATCTTTGAAATTTTGAAATCTTGAAACCTAGCGTACTCTTTTTCAAAATTGTAACAAACTTTTATTAAAGCTCCTTTAAAAAAATCTTGGTGGAAACGTCAGATTTTCTATTGAATTTACGTATCAAGAAATAAAAACAGTAGAAATTTTTTTTGTCTTAATATAACATATATATTTTTGCGAATAAATTAACAATATGCCTCCGAATGGTTATCTTGCATATCATTGCCTTCTATTGTATATCATTTATCGTTTTATAATATTTTGTTGAATTTAATTATATTTTTTTTAATCAATTTTGTAAGATTTCTTGTGAAGATAAATCAAATGAAAAAATCATTTTAGCTATATTATCTTGAATTTGAAACACCATATTTGAAGAAACCATCAGAAAATTGACGTTCAGGAAAATTTGAGATGAATTAGAAATTTTCAAAAATCGAAATAACGGATGTTGCTATCATAATGATTTTATAAGCTATGATTAAATTAACTTGAAGCATGATATGCAAAAATATGTCCGGGATTTTCATTTTCGACAAATTCCAAAATTTTGAAAATCATTTTATCAATCAGAACGACGATTATTACTATCGCCTTCATCTTCAACCTCCTTAAAGAGATATCGAAACTATTTTTTAAAGTCATCATTCAATGAATTCAAAACCTTTTTTTTAGTTATCGTGGGATAAACGACTTTCTTTTGAATTCCAAAATTCAAAAAATTAATATATAAATCGAATTTCAATTATTCAAAACCTTTTCAATGAATTCAAAACCTTTTTTTAGTTATCGTGGGATGCACGATTTTCTTTTGAATTTCAAAATTCAAAAAATTAATATATAAATCGAATTTCAATTAACGTCGATGGATAACGCTTAATAATACTTTTATCGGCTGATGACATAATATAGTATTTTTAAATCCTAATGGACTGATACAATACAAAAAATTCAAACCTCAAATTCAAATGAAATAGCTTCCATTCGGACGCAAAAATTCATCCAAACCTCCAATTAGGTAATTGGTCATTCTCGTCATACTTCAAAGTTCGGTAATTTCGTAGCAAACTCCTTTATTCATATCACAGACCTTTTACAGCAATCAAACAATTGCATTATTCTATTTAGTATAAAAACATTGCAATAACACTTCTTTCTTTTAAATATCAAAAACCTTGAAACAAATATATCTCGAACAAGTACAAACACGTGCGAAACACCTTGTGCTATAAATTAGTACTGTAGGAGTCACCAGACTTGTCATCGTGACTATTCTTCAATACTGCCGATACTATTTCATTCGATTTTTTTCTCAACTCTGCATGTTTTTCTTCGTTGAACGCACACGCTCGATCTATCACAGTATTTAATCGTCTATTCAAGCGCAACTTTATCCAGTTGAACTTGAACAAGTAGTAGAACAAGGTTCTGCAATAAAGATGAATTTTTAATCAAACATCCGGTTGGAGATTTTCCCAAAGGATTGTTACCCACAGGATTTAACTTACTTCGAGAGATAATATCTAAACCAGGATGAATAAGACATTGATGCTCGTAATCTCGGCATGTGGAGACCCATCAAATCCGCGAGGTATAACAATGCCGAGTCGTATGATGAGCCGGGTAAGTAGAGATGTAAACCTTCGTAAACGCATCTCATCATGTGCTCCAATTCAGGGCGGAATTCCCTCAAATTTGGCTTAACCCAGAAGTCTAGAAAATCACGGCTGCGTTGTCGGGTTTCTTTTAAACCTCCTCGACAAAAATTGAACCTAGAAATTCATGAAATTTGAGTTTCAATATCTTTCATGCAGGTGCGTGTTGTCAAATATAATATTTTCTAATTAGAGGGAAATTTCATAGAGGGAGTAAAGAGATCTACACCGAAAGTTTTTCCTATCTTTTTTCAATTCTTAGATATTTTTCATAAGCTATACTACTGCCTTCTGTAATAAAACAGGATCAGAACGGTGAACGGAGTTTTTTTCTCTCTGTCAAAATTCCCTCTTCTAAAAATTACCTTCGATTATTGATTCCGAAATGAAATTAAAGAATGAAATGCAATGTGAATGAACGAACAGGTAGCTGACAGCGAGCGTGTGACTGGAGATTATCTACACTGATGGAAATTATTTGAAATTTAAGTAGCAGATGCAATTGAATTCTCAATATTCTGAACTTGAATTCAATTTCAAACTAAATTGCTCATAGAATTCCTGATTCATCTTGGAAATTTAATAAAATTAAGTTTTTCATCATGAGTGATTATTGAATTTTCAAGGATAATTTGGATTTTCAAACCTATTGTGAAAATTAAGCAATACATTCAATTGAATTTTCAACAGATTGGAAATTCAATTTGAATTTTCACGATCTTCAGTAATTTTCATTGTCGTACGAACCTGAGAAATCAAATTTTATTGAATATTCAAGAAAATTGGCTGATTTATTAATAACAAGATCAATGGAAATTCCATGTCAATTATTCATTGTTAAAAATTCAAAGATTTTTTACTTGAAATTTAAAGAATAATTTTCTAACAGTGTACTTAGTAGTGTGTTTATTCTTTTGCTTCCGAATCGAAGCATGGTATACGTCAAATCCTAAATTTTCCATTTTTCCGATTTTTAGACCATGTCTGGATGTATGTGTAGAGCCCGTCCAGATCAGGCCACAAAATTTTCGACAATTTTTTGTTGTTGTTCTTGATGTATAGTTAAGAAAATTTATCGGCTAGCAACGATCTCGCGGCTTAATTAGAGGCGCTCCGCATGATAAAACGTTTTAGTCTCGAAATTCTGCGCTCTCATTTAACCTGTTGAAAAATGTTTAAAAAAAATCAAAACGTAGTTTCTGATCGGAAATTTTCTGAATTTTTCAAAAATGGTAGTCATTTTGTTCCGCCACTTCAACTTCATCTTGAAAATCGAAAAATAAAACTTCAAACGTTGATTTCAGCCTGTTCCCCCCTTTCTTCCCTAAAGCTGTTTTTTTTTTGATAATTCAGAAAATTTCCGATCGAAATCATCTTTGAAAAATATGCGCTCAGATGCCGCAGAACTGAAATAGAAATGAAAAATAAAAAATGAATCTTTTGAAAATTGATTTCTCACAGGTTTCGCATATTATGATGATAATAACGAATAGAGAAGTACGTCTCGTCAATGAAAATAACTATGTAATGAATGAAAATTGTAATTAAAAGATCAAACTCTGTAAAATCGATTTTCGTAGTATTAACTTTTTGGTTTCTATTTTCTTTCCGGCTATGCAGCACACGAGCGCGCATTTTTCAAAGATCATTTTTATCAGAAATTTTCGGAATTAAAAAAAATATCAGATTTAGGAGAAAAAGTGGGGAACAGGCTCAAATCCAGTTTCAAGTTTAATTTTTTGATTTTCACCATGAAGTTGAAGTGAGGGAACAAAATGATCACCATTTTTGAAAAATTGAGAAAATTTCCGATCAGAACCTGTTTTGAATTTTTTCTTCAGCATTTTTTCAAACGTTGAATAAGAACGCAGAATTTTGAATCCAAAACGCTTAATCAAGCGGAGCGCCTTTAATTCAGCCACACGCGATCTCTTGTATACGAGAAATCCTCTTTTCTATATATAAATATTGAGAAGAAATACGGCCGAAGGCGATATAAGCATTGAGAAGGCCGAGCCGAAGGCGATTCACATTCGTTGAAAACGAAGTTTATGCCCGAGTGGTCTATACTATTTTATGCCACATCGTGCAGAAGCTTCGCGCAGCGTGCGATAAACTCGACTTATTGCACGGCGTGCCATAATGGTATTTTATGCCACTCATGCCTGAAACCGGCTGGATTACACACTCGACGCTTCGCGTCTCGTGTCTAATTCAGCCGGTTTCAGGCCGTTTTCACTCGCCTTCGGCTCATGCTGTAAACCCCACACACGTTAAAGACGATATTGCCCCACACGTGCTGAAATATACTATTACACAACAAGTGAGGTAAGTCGGACTTTACACGCGAGTGCGGCGAAGCGACTCACTTCACGAGTTGTGTAATGCATTTTATGTCATCAGTGCGTCTGTGGGGGTGGCGAGTGGGTACGGGCGGGGGAGTGGGTCCAAGGGGCGGAGCCCCCCGTGGGGGGAGGAGGGGGCG